CACGGCCAAATCCAGAGGAAAACAGGGAAAACGAGCAGGCTGAGCCCCTGAGCGCCCCGTCCTGCCTACCTGCCCTCACGAGGAGCCCCGAGCCTTGTTCCACTCCCCCCTTATAACGAAAGCGGCAAAGTTAAAGCGAGCTGGACACTACAGAGCGAGGCTGAATTAATTCCACAAACCTCATTAGCGCTGGGGCTGACTCAGTGTCCAAATCCTCTGCCGCAGCCCGAATAACAGGCACCCGCACCCCGCGCCAAGAAATTCCTCCGAAGGCACAGGGGGAACGCGCTGCTTCGCTGCCACAACTTGATTTCCAGCTTTGGCCTTTTCTTTCTTTCCTTTTTTTTTTTTTTTCCTCTCCCTCCTCTCTGTTTTCTGTCCCTTTTTTTTTCCGGTTAAAAGTCAACTCGCGGAGCGGCGGGGATCGCTCATTCCTCCCCGCGGATCTCCGCACCCTCCGCTCAAATATCCACTTAGTTCTCGCTCCCCTCGCTGTCCCGGAGCTGCAGCCTCTCCCTCCCGAGGGGCTGGAGGGGAGGAAAGGTGTGAGCTGCGATAAATGAGATTGGATGGCAGGTGAGGACGAGCTTTATCCCAGGCGGGAGGGAGGAGGGGGTGCCCGTGACGCAGGGTTGGCATTCAGTCCTCCCTCGCACACCTGGACGGGTGGCACAGCCCTCGCTGCCGCCCTTAGACTCTCCCTCCACCAAGCACGAGGAGGGGGTGTCAACCCCCAGTGCCCACTTCATTCCTAGCTGAACTAGTAGGGAAATTTCTGCTGGGATAACCACTCAACTGCCGAGCCCAGCCTTGGTGCAGAGAGGATGATCTGCATCTCGCTTTGTCCAGGGCACAAGTGTGGCAACTCACTCCTCACCTGCAACAAATCTGGCTCGAGGGTCAATGCAACCCCTTGTAGCACCATAAATGAGACCCACCTGCTCCTAATGCATCCCCACCATGATCCAAGGCTTCAAAGAGCAGCAATCCCAGCGCTGCGTCCTGCCCTGCTGCTGGGCTGGAGCTGAAACCCCTTCCCCAGTCAAAGGCACAGCAGAGGAGGGTCTGGAGTTCAGGTGAGGTTATTTTTCTGTCCCACAGCACCCTTTTGCTTTAGAGCCTGGGGTTTGTCTCTGCTCAGACACACTCACACCTCCCACGGAGCAGAGTGGACACGTACCGGAGCAGATGCGATAGCTGCGGCTGCGTTTCAGCTCCCCAATAAATCCTCACAAGGAAAACTGCATCCCCTCAGCTTCAAAACAAACAATAGCAACAGCCAGACAAAAAAATTACATATTTCCTGCCTGCCTCGAAGAGTAAAAATACAAGCAGGGCAATTTTGAACTCCTCATTATATCAATACAGCATCACGGAGGTGATCGGCTCCCTAATGATGGTGACCTAGCACTGATGGAAACCTAAGTGAGGAGCAGGATTCCTTTCACTACAAGAAATAGGAAGCTCAAGTAAATATGTGCTAACTGCCTTAGCCCCAGGAAAAAGGAGGATGTGCTTGTGCCATTAAAAACTGCAGCAAATGGGAAACAGGCAGAGGCACAGCGGAAGATGGTCTGGGCAGTTCCAGTCTGGTATTTCCTAGTTTCCCAACACTTCACTTGGGAACCTCAGCATTACCCTGGGGCCTTCTGGAGATGTGATTTTTTTAGATTTAAACAAAAATTCTGAGAATTAAGGGGTTTTGTCCTTGGTTTTGTTTTCAAACCATAACAGACCTGGACTGCATACAGGAGCTGGAGCATGAGGTGCTGATGCTCGAGCTGCTGAAGGCAGAGGATCCTACTCTGCCTAGGGGGTTACAGCTGCAGCAGATGTTGTTGAATGTTGCAGATGAAGGACAACTGGGCTTCAGTTCCTAAGACTAGAGGGAAGCTTGTGCTGGTGCTTGCAGACCTGTCTGCTCATCTCCCCTGGTCCTGCCCTCCAGCAGTGCTCAGCTCCCAACAGCCTCAGCCCACCTCCCACTGCTGCAATTTTCCTCTTACCCCACTGAGGTAAGCAATGCTGCCAGGCACTGGAGTTGAAAAAGTCAATTGAGGTGACAAGCAAGAAGCATATTGTTAAAAAAACCCCAGTAATTTTAGTGATGGTTCCCTAAGAGAAATCCTGACCCCAACTGGAAAGGTTTGGGAGCAGCCAAACTTCCACCACAGTATTTCAAGTCCTTGGTTTCTAGATGTCCTCCTTGCTCAGCCTGAGATGGGGAATGTTTATGTTGCTTCCTGTAAAGGATCTCTTACCTGCAGACTCTCTGACAGCCCCAGAGCTTCCTGACACCACCTCCCTTCCCTTTTTCCCAGCAGCCTGAAGCAGCAAAGCAGGACCAGCTCTGCTCAGTATCTCCAGCTGTGAGGAGGAGCCCAGTGACTCACCTTGGGTGCTGCTAGAAGACCTTGACATACTCATTTGTACCTTTCTTTAAGACATGTTCCCTCAGCCCCAAGGAGATCTCCAAACTGATGGAGCAGGAGTTTTCCCAGAGAGACCTCTAACTCTGCTGCCTTTACATTGACATTTACAGTGCTGATAAAGGTACTTGTCCAATATCAAGACAACTCCTCCACCAAACTTTAAGGAATTACAGATTCTTAGTAAACACTCATAAGAATTTAACAGCTTTTCACTTCATCTTCTTTTTAAAAAAATACAGTTTTATGGGTTGTCTTTCAGGCAGCTTCTCCAAGATACTTCCACCAGGGAAGAAGAACACCTGGAGAGCTCAAGTTCTTGCCTTGGTTTCATACCTTGTGCTCCCTGTCTGCTGGATCAAGCTCTTACCACACAACTCTGCTTTTTCTAAGAGCAGAGACCAGGGAGTTCAGAGCCAGGAGCAGCAGATTCCATTGCAGATGACTCTACCACAGCTCACAGCCATGTACGTGGTGAACCTCACATTTAGAAATTGATGATTTTCTGCTGTGGCAATGTGGCCTAGAAATTTTTGCCCTAGGAGGGAAAACAAGTAATTTTATAGCTCACACTAAATTATTGCTCTCTCTGCTGAGACTACCAGTCCAAGTGCCAATTACTGATAATTACAAGTGATTTCAGGGTTAATTATTTTCTTCTTTTTTTTTTTAATGCCACGCCAGCTTGTACAGAACCTTTCTTCTCTCTGTCCTGCCACCACAGCATGCCCAGAGATGGCTCTGGGGCTTTTTCTAGGTCTCTGTTGTGCAGTTACAGCCAAAATCCTGCTGCTGGAGCACATTCATCCCCTTTTAAATTCTGTAACAGCACACACTGCTAAAACAAAAATAAATGCTTGATCCCATTGCTGCACTGTACACTGTAGTGGCAATATCCTGCTACATGGTGTAAATTAAAGGCATATATAAGAATGTATTATTAATGTGCATTAATGTGCACATAATTTATTGCACTAAATTTAATTCCCCATGTAATTAAAAGTGCAAGATGAAATCTTGCCCTATTCTCTTCCTCAGGCTTTCCCCTAAGATAGTGTTAACTACACATGCTGAAAGTTTTCCAATGGATGATCTTTGTCATGAACATGCATCTAAAAGAAATCTCTTTGCTGAACAGCCCTGATGCCCATTTACCTCTGGGACAGATTGGCAGCAAGAGGTAATTGGGATACTGAAACAACACAAGGGGAAAACATTAGTAAAGGATCCAGGATGAAACTTCAGCCCATGACAATCCTAACATCCATACAGAGAAAGCAGAACCTTTCAGGATTACATTAGCATCCTTCCCAGCTGCCAAAGGGCTGAACACACAGCAGTGTTATGTTTAGCAAGGCAGCTCACCTTTCCTCCAGGTTTGTGTTGGCTGGGACCAGACGAGACATTCGAGAGCATCAGTGAGAGTCTCACCCACGTGAACTGGGAGAGATGGACTCACCTTCTGCCATGCTTTCCAAGCACTATGAGAGGCTACACAAAGAGGAGAGGTTAAAAATGTCAGTAACTTCACCTTCCATGGCTGCACCAAAAGACAGCCCTGTTCCCTTCCAGTGCTGGTCCATACAAACGTGGCAGAGGACAGACAGACAGACAGACGCCTTCTACGTGAAGGTTAAACCTTTCCTTGTGAAATCCCAGTGCTTTGCTGCTTACTGGCAACAGAAAGCACAAGCCTGGCCCCAGCCAAAGATTAGTTCCAAATAAACAAAGACTAAATACTGGAAGTCATTGGTGTCCATGGTTCTCGCTTAGAACAAAAGGAAGGAAGTGGAACAAAAACAGAGGAACAGCAGCACACGGCAAGGCTCAGAGGTGGAAAACTGCTCTGCAAGAGCCACGCAGGAATACATTGGTGAAAAGGCTCCCCAAAAGGAAGAGGAGATGTTGGTGGAACCTCACTGCCCCTTTCTGGGGTCTTGAGCCTCAACAGGAACTTATTTAATATTAGCCAATGTGGAGAGCCCTGCTGAGAAGTATCTCTCTTCCCACTCCCTCATTGGAGATACACAAAATTTCTTCTGGACAGTTCTTGTGCAATGTGCTCTAGGAAAACTCTGCTTAGGCAGGGAGGTTGGACCAGATGACCCCACCAGTGGTCCCTTCCAACCTTACCTATTCTGGGATTCTCTGGAGGTAAAACTCTGGGTTTTCCCAGGCTCACACCATTCAACAGGAAGGAGCAATCCATACTCTGATAACTTTTTGGGCCCATGGCAAAGCCCATCTATCTGAGGGACTTCACAGGAGCTACAGCTTCTTCTCCCCTGCCATGATGAAGAGTTGGAAAGGAGCTTGTGCAGGTGTCAGCTGAAGCAATCACCTCCACACTGCTAGAGCTGACTGTGTCATCAGCAAAGCCTTGGCACGGCCCCCAGCCTTGGCAGGGAAGACTCTTTTATTTTTTGTTAGTCTCAGTACATAATTCTCATAAACCAGACAGAGCAGCAGCAATCCAAGTAAAACATAGCTTCAGGTGCTCCCATTTCACGGTTTGAGGTGGGGCTGGCAAGGGTTGCTCTCCCCACCTGCTCTCTGGGCTCAGCAACACCAGCCAGACATAAAATAAAAGCACACAAAATCCATTCCCACAGCAGCATCAAAGGAGGGCAGATCTCTAAATCACAACAAGCAAATAGGAAAGAAAATCAACACTTCGGGGCATGGAGGTGGGAGAAAAGACTTCAGAAGGGAGAATGAGAGCAGAGCCAATTCTGCCAAGGATGACTTCATTACAGCAGCTCTCCTCCCTCTGCTGAGGCAGAGACACACTTGAACATGGAGTTGCAGCTAAGACAAACCTACTCAAGCTAGGAGACATTCATGCTTACAAAGGTGATAAGCAGAAAGAAGCCCCGTGGTTTCCAAGGAGTCTGTAATTCTCAGACCAAGGAATGATGAAAATGAGACTGGTTTTACTCTCCTGGGTACAGTTGGTGTTCCTTTAGGAGGAGAGGTAAGAATGACTATCTGCAGCTTTTAGGAGTCAGAAGTGCAGTCTGAGCCATCCCTATTGCAGCAGCACAAAGAACCTTCAAGCCATGTAAGTTGGGAATTTGCCTTAGTGCAGCTTGGCCACAGCTGCAATTCTTAGAAGGTGCTTAACACACAGGCACTGACACACTCAGGACCCTCCAGGAGCTCTCACTCAGCCTTGCAGTGAGCACAGCCATAGAGTTCTAACAAGCAAACTAGTCAAACCTCTCCCATTTGAGGACTTCAGGCCATGGTTCATGGGCCAGGAAGGGATCCTCTCCCCTCAGGACATCACTCACATGTGCCTGAGGCTCTCTCCACCTTCCTCTGTGGTGCTGATTGATGACAGCCCAGTGCAAACCACCAACCTGTATGATCACATTCTCAGAGGTAGGAAAGAGGCTTTTCCCTAGACCTGCAGTTTCCAACCTGTGTATCCATATATTACTTCCAATAGTAATACGCAAGATAAACAAGAGCAGTAAACTATGGTACTGCTGCAGGTTTGATATACAAGAGGTGGTGTCTCCACTCCAGCTTTTCGGGGAGAAAAAAAAAAACCCCAGACCAAACCATGCCTGTTTCAGGTAGCTTTCTCTGCTGCAGACAGCAAATGCCAAGTCCTGGGAGCTCAGGATTGAGCTGTCAGAGCACAGCCCAGTCCTGCAGGTCTCTTGCAGCAGCCTGTTCCTGCAGTTTGGAAACTGCTGTTCCAGATACCTCATGGCAACTCTGCTCAGCACACATCAGCACACTTTGGGAAGTTCTCCTCATCTCTCTATGTAGCAGCATTTTCCTATTGCTTCAGAGTCAGTGAACAGTGTCATTCATAGTCTGCAAAGAAATCCATAGGTTTGGAATCACTATGGATGCTGCAGAGCAAGGAGGAAGAAGGCACATGGAAGAGGAAGGGATGGGCATGCCTGGTTGTGTGATATGATTAAGATACTTGCACTTAAACAATGTTCGGTAGCTTCTGTAGTCAAATGATTCAACCCCAAGAACTTCAGCAGATCCCTGTCAAGTGCTGAACTGGTAAACTTCAAGCTCTCCCAGTTTGTGCTTACCACCAGTCCCAGTGACAGACAGGGCAGAGTTGTACCATCTTCCACAGGACAAGGATGGAGTTAAGGCATCCCTTACAAGCTTGCAGGAGTCAAGTCAGCAGCCCAATGCAAAGTAACTTAACAGAGATGTTTCCACCTTACTATTTTCATGCCTTTCAACACTTTATTGCTTTAAAAAAAGAGAAATTCATCCATCTCCCCAACTTCCCCCACTATAGTTTCATCAGTCCCCTGGTTTTATCTCCCATGAGAATTCCTGGATACACAGATGCTTTTTTTTAAGCTAAAGTGACTGCCAGGGCAAAGTGCTTACCTTGTTTTAAAATTATGTGAAAGTAGGAAACAAACCTCTTATTTCTTCCTTAAGTCTCCATAAATGCAAAGTCTGGATCAGGAGTGACACATTTTATATAAAAAACCCCAGTGTATTCTCAGAAACTTACACTTTAGCTGATCTGGCAACCATCTCTCCTATCACTGCTTATGCACTAGAAACAAGAGGCTCTGGGTAGAAATTTAACATGAGAGAAATGCAAACACATTCATGACACCAGAGGGTTGGTTTTGGGTTTGGTTTTTTTTTTTTTAAGACTTTTCCATTTTTATACAATAAAATTTTCAACTGAAAATACTTTTTCACAACAGTGGAGCAAGCAGTAACTGCCATGTGTGCATTCACAGAACATCACGAGCTAGTACAAGGATGGACAACATCACAATTAGGATCAGACACTCCTCTGCTTATCTGCTGCCCAATCTCATTCCGTGGCAATGGAAGTGTTTTCTGCACAGGTCTCTGCAAAGGAGTTCACAAATCAAACCTCTACAGCTTGAAGTTCTGCATAGAAATCTCCATCCCTGTGAGACAGGAACAGGATTGTTCCAGCACAGTTTCCTCAACACAGTGTCACTAAGATCTACACAGAGAGCACACAGGTACAGATGTCAGGGCTAGAACAAAGAGTGAGCCTACATTCACAGCTGTGGATTGCTTCCAGTCTCTGCTACACACCTGAACATGAACACTGAACAGTTGTCTCTGCTTTAACTCCCTCAGAACTGAGCTGGCATCCACAGAGGGAGGCACCTATCACAGGCTGCTAGCAGCCCTGGAGCAGGACCTGGAATACACAAGGGTAACACTGACAGTCCTTTGCTACTTGCCCTTTTGTGGCTTTTTTTTTACCCCTAAACCAAACTTGCAAGTAGGTAAGACCCTGATGCAGTCATTAACAAGCAAACTTACAAGCTGACTCCAGATACCACTCTCCTCCAGCACAACACACGCAGACTGGTTCTTCCCACAGCAAGCAAAGGCAGAGGCATTGTGGGCAGAGGTCCATTCCTGTGGGCACACAGCTGGCGTGCCTGCTCCTGCCCCTGGGCTTTCAAAGGGGAACTGTGGTCTGTTTCAAAGCATCTTGTCATCTTTTACCAAAGGCGAAAGCTACCCCTCCCTTCCAAGAACAACGGCTTCAGTGACAAATAAGTCCCAAAATCCAGGCCCAGCACACCAGTCATTGCTTTGCCTTTTTCACAATGGTGCCCACAGCTGATATGACTGTGGTTTTGGATCCACTTGCACTGGTTGTCACTGTGACCACACCTGGCAGCGTTGCAGTAGTGGTGAGGATGGTGGGCTGAGCTATCGTCGTTACGGGGATGGCCGAGTCCCACTTGCTCTTCCTCTTCTGGGCATCTGTGAATTTGATTGAATCAAGCAAACAGCAAATAACATTATGTTAAAGGTCACCAATCAATCCCTTCTTAACAGTCTGTCTTCCCAACCCTTAATGTACCACTGCTTGACTAGACAACTTCCCCTCACGTTAACTTCAGCACACACTCATAGTAACTGGTGAGGACGAAAAACCTTATGCCTCAAGAGTCAAACTCTACACCTAAGCTCCAGCTAAATGGGACACAGAATCACTCCCTGCCCCAAGGCATATTTAATTTTAACAGAGCACACGTATCTCAGTTGCTCAGCCAGAGGCACAGGACACAGTCAGCCTCCAGTGGTTCTCCTTCCTCCCTCCCTCTCAGTGTCAAAGGCAGACTGGAGGCAGGACAGTAA